TCAAAAACACATCTGGTTCCTTCTTTCTTTTCCTTTTTTTTTTTTTTTACTCAGAAATTCCCTGTCATTGTAATGACACACTTTTTTCACTTGTTACTTATCAATATTTTCTTTGTCTCTTAGGCCATGTGTGTGGCTGTTTTATCACCCATGATTCGTCTGGCCTTTCTTTCTGCCTTCCTTTCTTTCTCTTTCTTTCTCTGCCTCGTAAATGGTGCCACAAGATTTTAATTTTTTAATATTTTTTATTGTTCATATATATATATATATATATATATATATATATATATATATATATATATATATATATATTACTATTAGCTTTTTTTGTCATTTATTTGTTCGAACGAGTTTCACAACTTGATATCACCTCTTAATTGCTGTTGTTCCTAGGTCCACCCTGACCCGTTGTGGTAGCACCTGTTAAGGTCTCAACTTTGGGCAAATAGAAAAGATCTAAACCAAAAACAAAACAAAAATCTATGAAATAAGACAAACTATTTTTATAGCGAAAATACCAGAAATACGATTTTATATAAAAAATTACCAGCAAAAATTACATTGGTACAATTACCAATAATATATTTTATATCAAAATGACCAATACATTTTGTCAGTATTTGAAGGAATACAATTTCATTCAAAAGGTATTTCGTGGAAGGTATGTAATTGCGTTCAAAATATATTTAGTTGAAGCCATGATATTCACATTTCGGTATTAAATTACCCATGGAGGTGTTGATATGCCGCTAAACCAAACCGTCCAACCAACTATAGGGTACAATTTGCGTCAATCTGAATACACTGCTTTTTATGTGATATTTATTTTATAGTTTATTCTACCACATCCTCTATTTGAGTCTCTTGCCCTCAACCCCCTAGACAGACATGATTGCAGAAGTGATGAGGTCGCCCACATACACACAGTAATACACATATCTACACATACACGTATGACATACACTCCAAAAAAAGAAAAAGAAAAAAGGAAACGAAACCAAAAGTTAACATACACATAACACAGACATTCTCTTCCCAGCAAAACATTTTTAAAGCAAAGTGACCAGCAATACATTGGTAGAATTACCAACTATATATTTTATAGCAAAATGACCAACGATATATTTTACAGCGAAATGATCAATACGTTTTATCAGTAGTTGAAAGCATACAAAATATTCAAAATGTATTTAGCTGAAGGCTTACAATGGTGTTCAAAATATATTTAGTGGAAGCCTTAAAATTGTGTTCAAAATATTCATATTTTCGCATTAAATCACCCACAGAGTTGTTGATATGCCACTAAACCAAACCAAGCAACCAAAAATGGGGTAAAATTTGCGTCAGATTTCTGGCACTGTTTTTCGTGTTATATTTCTTTTACATTTTAATTTGTCTATCACACCCTCTATTTTAGTCTCTCAACCTAAACCACATTAGACAGACATGCTTCCAGAGGTGATGAGGTCTCCAACACACAAAAAACAAAAACTAAATGATAACATACACATAACACACACATTCCCTTCCAAGCAACCAATAAAGCTGTCAAAATGATTAAAGAGATAAATCTGAGAGTCATGTGTCTCGCAGACTTTCCTTAAAAAAAAACTTGAAAAAGGCTTTTGACCAATACAAGGACTGACAAAAAATTAACAGTAACAAAAAAAACAAATGAAAAATTCAAACAAAGTTCACCTTCTTCAGAGACAGTTATTCACCCATGTTGTTCACTGCTGGTAAGAAGATGGATTTTTTTTTTCCTGATGATGGCTATGTTGGCCGAAACTTGTCGAGGAACCTAATTTGCAAAATAAAACAAAAAAATTAATATACAACCCAGTGTGTCTGAAATGTTAATTTTTAGCATGTTTTATTTTAGACACACACAAAAACATCTATCTATCTATCTATCTTCATCTATCGCAATATCTATATATATATATATATATATATATATATATATATATAGATAGAGAAGAAGTTTAGGTGAAACCTAGGTAGGTTTGTCTGGCTCACTAGGTGTATCTATATATATATATATATATATATATATATATATATATATATGAATCTAGGTAAAATGGCAACGGTAAAAATGGCAAAAGTGGATAAATAGGTAAAAATGGCAATGGCAAAAATGGATAAATAAGAAAAAATGGCAAAAGGAAAAAAATATAGATGAATATCTCACAATGAGTTTATGAAAATCTTGGATACAATACATAAGGGAAAAACATGAGAAGTTTGTCAAATTAAAAAGAATATTCAGCTAAAGCTCCCCCCTCCCATGAGATTTTACTTTTATGCCATTACGTCTGAACACACTGAAAAACTTGATATAGGTCCACTTGATGACGATTTCCGGTATTAAAATCAGAAAACGACATTAAGCGGTGTTTATCGGAAAACAGTTCCTCGTCAATTTTGTACCATTAGAGTTGGGTTTTTTTTAATTTCACTATTTTGAACACGTGGGAATCAGTAGTGCAGTCGAATA